AGCATCATCGTTAACCATTTTCCTCTTGTTTGCTCTGTAGGTTAATGACAGGTTGTTGTTGTTGCTTGCTATCAGTTTTTGCCTTTAGATATTTTCAAGAGAAAAACAACATAAAGTTGTTTTTTTTTTGAGGGGGGTGGTGGAAACTCAACAAGTAATAAAGAAAGGAAACAAGAATGAACTTGAAATATCTCGGGTCATCAAAGCTGAATCATTCTGATTTCCACTCCCTTCAATTGCTCGTTGCTGTCAGCAGAGTTGGTTATCAGTGGCAAGTTACATTTCAGAAGGAAAATTGAGGACAGTCTCACTATTAAATTAATAAAGGTAAACACACACAACCCTTCCAAATCACAAGCCATTCTTTTTATATCGTTATATTGTTTCATCAACTTTATTCTTTATTATAATAATACTTATATCACTTGAGTCACAGGGAAGGCAGCCCTTTATGGCATGGTAATGAGTCTCCTATTATAATTTGCTATAGATGCTGTACAGCTTATAGCCCAAATCCAACGATCAAGTTGACAGTGTGTAAGAGCTAAGGTTTCCCAAATGCCTTCCTGGAGTAAGGGTACAGAGGCCCACAGGTCAATGGTAACGTCTTAGAAATGAACAGAAGAAACTCACAGTACCTGCCTCTGATTTCATCAGAAGTGGTAGTCTTGCACCTGAACTGAGATTTATTTATTTATTTATTTTTGTTGTTGTGTGTTACTTTTTTTTTTTTTAACATTTTATTAGGGGCTCATACAACTGTTATCCCAATCCATACACACATCAATTGTGTAAAGCGCATTTGTACATCGTTTCTCAAAACATTTTCTCTCCATTTAAACCCCTGACATTAGGTCCTCATTTTTCCCCTACCTCCCCGCTCCCCCCTCCCGCATGAACCCTTGATAGTTTATAAATGGGTATTTTGTCATATCTTCCCCTGCCTGACATCTCCCTTCACCCACTTTTCGGTTGTCTGTCCCTCAGGGAGGAGGTCACACAAAGTTCCATGTAATCGGTTCCCTCTTTCCTACCCATTCTCCCTTTACCCTCCCTGTTTTGCCACTCACACCACTGGTCCTATAGGGCTCATCCGTCCTGGATTCCCTGTATTTTCAGTTCCTATCTGTACCAGTGTACCTCCTCTGGTCTAGCCAGACTTGCAAGATCGAATTCGAGTCATGGTAGTGGGAGCTAGGAGGAAACATTTAGGAACTAGAGGAAAGTTGTATTTCTCATCATTGTTACATCGCACCCTGACTGGCTCATCTCCTCCCCGAGACCCCTCTGGGAGGGGATCTCCAGTGGCCTACTAAAGGGCTTTGGATCTCCACTCCGCACTTCCCCCCATCATTCACTATGGTAAGATTTTTTGTTCTGATGATGCCTTACACCTGATCCCTTCGACACCTCGTGGTTGCATAGGCTGGTGTGCTTCTTCCATGGAACTGAGATTTTAGACTTGTTGACTTTTTGGTTGTCTGTCAGTCAACATTTGGAAAGGGCCTTCTCAGGGAAAAGAGGCTATGGTTACGCAAAATAGCAATGTTAATTACTACCAAGAGAAAGCACAAGTACCACACAACCTACATTTCAAAACCAGCATCAGTAAGTGCACCTCATATGCATTCATACATTTACATTAACAATTGGTTTATAAGCTACTTGGGTTTTAGGGGGAAAATTTTTTTAATTCCACCGATGGCTTACAAAATGAGATCAAGCTCACAGTTCAAGAGTAATACTCAACTCTTGTTCATGAAGTTTTTCATCACTGTGGTTATGACTCGGGAGATTTCCCACCCCTGGCCCCTAGCCAGGAGTATTGATTCATGAGTTGACTATGGCAAAGGGTGTAAGGAAAACACAGGCTAATCTAAAAATCAAATAATGACTCTTCTCTGAACCAAAAAAGCAGCAGATCAATTTCCTAGGATACAAGGTATCAGATTCCTTATAATGTCTCATGCATGAGTCTCACAAGGGATTCATTTCCTGCATACTTGGGCATTCTAAAGAAGAACCAGAAACTATACCCAAAGTTTGGAGAGGAACCTACTGCTCAAAAGTTCACATGAGGATCATGTAAAGGGTGTAGAAAGAGTCAACCCTGACAGATTAGATCCTTTCTGAGCCTAGCTGGAGGCTGAACTTCAGAGTCTACATTGAGAGTATTGATTCTATTATATAGTTTATATATATAATTTATATATATTAATATAATATATAGTGAATACTATATATTACATAGTAATCACTATTATAGATTCTAAAGTCAAGCTTTCAAAAAGGTACTACTTGGTTTATAATATAGAAAGGCAGAAACTGATCATAGAAATTGGCAGAACCTAAAATATACCTTGGCACATGGAACTCACATACAAAAATCCAAACCCACTGTCATCGAACATAGTCCAACTCCCAGTGACCCTATGGGTCAGAGAACAACTGCTCCCTACCTAGGGTTTCTGAGACACGATCTTGATTGAAACAGTCTCATCTTTCTCATTTGGAATGGTTGGTGGGTTTGAACCAGTAATCTAGCAATTAGCAGCCCAATGCAATGCTTAACCTACTGCACCACTAGGGTGCCTTAGCAATATAAACCCCCAAACCAAGATTACTGCCATTGATTGTGTCAATACCCACTCATAGCAATCCTAAAGGGATGGGGTACAACTGCCCCTGTGAGCTTCTGAGACTAGCTCTTTATACGAATAGAACACCTTATCTTTCTCCCTCTGAGTGACTGGTGGTCTTGAACTGCTGACCTTGCAGTTAGCAACCCAGAATGTAACCCCTAGGTCACCAGGGTTCCTTAGCATATAAAAGCCCTTATAAAATCAATGAATACATTTAGAAATGACAAATAAATTGGCCTTAAGGTTTGCAATGGTGCGTAGAGGAGGAGACTCTGCTTTCTGCACCTTCTCTATTCTAGTTTCGCTTCTGAGTCCCAGTTTTCCAACGACAATAAGCGTAGAGGAACTGCATTCTAGTGATAGCTATCTATATACCCCGGTGACAGGGACTTCAAGGATATGCCTGTAGTTTGATAGCGAGCAAGGGTCATTCTTTGATAATTAGACTGAACCTTGTGCGCTGGAACTGTGGACGCTTGTAGTTCGTTGGGGTGGGTGAGGCAGTGAGACTAACTACATGGAACAAGGCCTGCCAGAGTAGAACTCTAGGGACCGGCCGTGTGTGACCCTGACCTAAAGGACTCAAATCTGGGTCAAGGCAGGCTTGAACGAGTAGAACAGAGAGGTCACTGAGTTAATTCTGTAGTTTCAGTCCTCTAAATCACACGCACGCACGCACGCACACACCACCACCACTTTATTCCTGTCCCCTGGCCCAGCGAAACCTCCTATTGGAGAATGCATCTGTGTGCACCTTAGACATGCGAGCTGGGAGTAGACGTTTTATTGGAGAGAAGTAATCTCCAGTGAGAAGTGGAAGCCAGCTCCCTAAGCAGGGAGTCCAGAGCACTAATGGTGCAGTGGGTTACTGTTGAGCTGCTGAACACAAGGGCAGTAGTTTGAAACCACCGGCGGCTTTGTGGGAGAATGAAGAGGCTTTCTACTTCTGTAAAGATTCAGTCTCAGAAATCCACAGGGGGCAGTTCTACTTTGTCCTCTGTCTTCAGCGTTGGAATTCACTCTGTGGTGGCAGTAAGCTTGGTTTTGGAGTAAGTTGTAAAGTACAAGGTACTGTTAGGAATTTTGTTTTCAAATCCCAACCATTCTGGAGAATTCTAAGGTCCATCTATAAACACATAATGCCTGCAGTGAAACGTACCCTCTTCTCACAAACATACAAATAAAAACAAACAAAAAAATCCAAGAATGCCTGTATTTATCCACCTATTCACTATTGAACAGTTTTGAGAACTTACTGGACCACTAGGCCACAAGTCTCTTCTGGACTTCCCTCTTAAGTCCAATAATTTCCCTTCTATTCTCCAAATATTTAGAATTTACAATAGTGCCTGACATTTTGATAGTATATCACTTGGAAAGACCTCAGAAGGTATTTCATGACACGCTTACCATGAGCTCCATGCCCAATGGAACCTGTACTCCTAGCATTTTGCCGGGGTCAAAAGGCCAACCTGGATGGAAAACCTCAACTATCTCTTAATCACTTGGCTTTACAGAGAGCGTTTAACTTTCTAGAACGAAGGAGCCCCATCCTGGGGATGGACTATTTCATGCACTCAGGAACCTCCTGTGCGTGCCCATCTTCTAGAGGATTGTACCTCCCCGTCCTTTTTTATAGGGTTTTAGCTGTCTCCCTTGAGAGCAGGATCAGGTGTCTAAAGTGATAAATCAGGGTTCAAAGTCTACTGGTGAGCATAAACTTTGACAAGAGGTCAAGGACCTAAAAATAAAGTGGCGAGAAATGTCTCTTCTTTTTCCTTGTACTTCTTCCCACCCTGTGCTCTCAAGCAGAGCAGCCTCCGGATGGACATGTTATGAATAATGATTAATAGATGGCTTTTAATCTGAAGCAGTGTTTCCCCAAATGGGTGATGCCACTTCAGGGGAGCTGACAAAGCAGTCCTACCTACACTTTATCCTGGATTATGGAGGGCTATATAGTACAAATGTTTTTTTAAAATCCCGGAGTGGGGGGGGGCACTGAGTTAACCTTTTTTTCTGAAAAGGGGGTGAGAGGCCAAACAAGTTTGGGAACCTATGATCTGAAGGAATAATGCACAAAGAAATCGGATAAGCACAAAAAGGGATAGGCCTCAGAGCTTTAAGATCTTTGCAGAACACCAAGAGAGCAGAATTGTCTAATTCCAACACACCCCAGTCCAAAAAAACGGGAAGGGCAACATTTCCATAAAAGAACTGTGAAAAGCCCTAGTATAGACACCCCAGGATGAGGATGATCCTTCAGCATGGCTTACTTAGCAGCAACCCATTCTTCCAGAATTGCAAGGAAAAACCGAAGTTACACAGGATGCTTATGCAGAAAGCTCGAAACAAGCAAACAAACAAACCAAACGTTTTATTTTGAAATACAGTCTTTAAAGACAAATTTGGCTTCCATTTTCCAGATCTAGATGCATCCAACAAAGATACAAAAACACAACAAAACGGAGACCGACGACATTTATGTACAGAGCTCTAAAATGAGCTGTGAATAGCTACAAGGTACTAGCTATGCTCTTGGTGAAGGGATGTACGCGTGTGGCTTTCTACAGTTCTCAGTCCTCCCGACGAAGAGTTAAGTCTTAGGAGCTGCAGGTGCGCGGCTGCAGCCTGGCCAGAGCTGGGGTCAGTATGGGGGGCTGGGAGGGGGGGGCTCCTGGGAGGAGGTGTGCAGAGGAGTCTGGGGAAGGGGTGCGGCTGCGGCTCGGGACAGATCCTGGGCTTCCCTAGAAGTCCTGCCGCGGGGTGTGAGTCAGGCTGTGGCGCCGCAGATCACAGTTTCGCCTGAACACTTTGCCGCACTGCTCGCAGCTGTAGGGCTTGATGTCTGTATGGGTGAGAAGGTGAGTTTTCAGATTACTTCTCTGATTAAAGGTTCTTCCACATGTGGGGCATTTGTGTGGAGATTCCTGTGCAGATGTGAAGCAAGCAAAGGATTAATCCTTCACACCACCACTGCACCCTTCACAATAGTCTTGTCTTATCGGTATCTGAGCGTTAACATAACACGCGCGCGGGGCACTAAACAAGGGGACCTGCGGGGACAAATCTGGGCTCCTAATCGTCCAATCAGGGAAACACACACAGGCACATGCACGGGCCTGATTGCCCAGATAGCTTGGGGGAGGGGGGCAGCTGTGAGGCCACCACCCACCGAGGTGGGCTTGGTGATTACCAGCTCTTTACATTTCACCACCACGTCACAGGCAGGAAAGGGGTGGGGGGAATCTCTCCGTCCTCTCTAAAGGCTTCTCTTTGCTGGAAAATTAAACTATTCCTCAATGTTCCCAAAATTACAAATCATGAGCCCCCCGGGAGAGCGAGCATATGAGATTTCACCATGCCTCCATTATCAAAATTACCTTTATTTCCTCCCAAATTCGAAAACTTTAAATGCAGGGTAGATCGGATATAAAAATAATCGTTCTAAAATTGGAATTTAAAATAGAGTGGCTTGTTCTTTTTTCCTTTTTTAGAGTTTTATGCTCGATAAAACTCATTATTTTGGAATTAAAAAGGAAACATGCAAACAACAAAACCCCGGGAGAGCTACTTTTCTCCATCTGTAGAGCTAACCTAGATGGACTCGCTTAGGAGGAACTCACTGCCGTTAAACACCTTTTGTAAAGCAATTACAGTCAAGGGTTTTTAAGCAAGAAAACAAACTTACCTGCATATGTAAAGTTTTGTGAACTGCTAGTGTTCTAGACTGACAGAATCCTTTCCCACATTCCTGACATTTGAAGGGTTTTTCTTTGGAATGGATATACCTGAAAATCAATACAAGGATTCATTGAGATGGAGATCACCCAAATTAACCCCTCCCCTCCACCAAAGAGGGTTTTCCTTTTGACCATTACTCAAAATAAAGCAGTGGAAGGTTCGCAAAAAGAACCGGGGTTTCCAGGTTGTAGTTATTTACTTATTTATTTTTGCGGTGTAATACTGTTTATGGTTCATCTCGGTTAGAGACTCTTCAATGCCTTCACGGCCTGCGGGCTTTTAGCTACACTTGCTTGCCCTCTCTGGTGCACTCTGGAGCCAGAAATCTCACCAAAGGGGCCCTTGTGGCCTCCACATTCTCTCTGAGATTTAAATCGGCCAAGTCGGGATGTAAGGCAAGGCTGGGCCCAGGAGAGCCGATTTTAGAGCCCCCCTTGGAAGCGTGAAGGAGGCTGGGTACGGGAAATGCAGACAGAGGAACTGCAGGTCGGTTACAGGGAAGATCCTAGTGCCCTCTTGGGAAATTTGTAGCAGGAGAGAACGCTCAAGTTACAGTTTCTTCTCCTCGCCGTGTATTAGTGCCCAGTCAGGGAGGGCAGGTGGGGGCTGGCTCCTACTGTCAGAAACCCGAAGACACACCCTCTGCAGATCAAGCTTCAGAGGGTCTCTGTGGCAGGCTCTGGGAATACTTAGGGAAAGCCTGGAGGTGAACGGGAACCAGTGGCCCAGCAGGTCTCCAGAAAGGAGCCCACAGTAGCCAGGGCAACTGGGAGGACACTGGGATCAGACCCTGCCTCATCTTAAACAAGAAGTGAACAGGGAAACCAGTAGCTGTTGTGGGACAGGTGAAGTCCATGGGGAGGGTCTCTTTAGGGATTTTTTTCCTTTCTTCTAGTTCAAAGATGGCTCGGAGGAAGCCTGAGAATGCTGTTCTAGGCAAAGTCGCTTTCCCTCGCTCAACCCCTTCCCCCACCTCACCTGTGATCTCGCAAGTGATCTTGCCTCCGGAAAGCCTTGTGGCAGATGTCACATGTGTAGGGCCTCTCATCTGTGTGGGTCCTTTCATGGATGAGCAAGTTGTAGGATTTGGTAAAGTGTCTGCCGCAAAACTTGCAGATAAATTCTTTTTTCGTTTTGGAGGGCAACCTACCACGGGAGGGCTTTCTGTCCGGAGTCAATTTACTGAGGCCCGAGATCGGACTGCCCAGCCCCGGGCTCAGCTTGGTCAGGTCCCCCATCTTGGGGGGGTCCTCCTGCGTGGCGGCAACCGCCAAGTTGGCAAAGTCAAACCGGGGCCGGTCCTTGTGCAGGGCTGGAAGGACGTGGGCAATGGCCCCCTGCTTCGGGTGGAAGAGGTGGGTGGTAAAGGGTAGTGCTGGGAAGGGGAAGCGAGCCTCCATGAGGCCCTGGGCCGCGGCCATCTCAGTGATGGTGGAGCGGGCGATCTCGTGCATGTTGGGGTAGCCCAGCGTCCAGTGGTTCATGTGCATGGTCTGCACAGCGCTGAGCCCGTACAGGCCCTGCAGGTGGTCCACGGCGGCGGGGAAGGTGTTCACAGCCTGCAGGAAGGAGTAATTGGTGAGCTGCAGGGATGGGTGGAGCGGAATGGGCGCCGGCAGGGCTTTGCTCCCCATCTTCTGGGATCCTGGGGGGCGGTGGGGGCCGCCTCTCGCTTCCAGGACGCACTGACTGAGGACGTGAAACTCTCAGAGAGACAACAGCACCAAGAGAATGCCCTAGAAACAGCAACGGGAGAAAGCAGAGCGTGAGTATTAAGTCCTGCCCTGCCGCTTCGGCCAGCCCCTGGGTACCCACGTGGGTTAACCGAGACTTGTTCCCCAGTCCTCCAAGAGCCCCCCAAATTTGAAAGCCGGGAAGGCACCACCGAGAGCTGCCCAGAAAGTCCACCCGGAGCCTGGAGCTCGGTCTCTTGGCAGGAAGTGGCCTCCTGGCGAGCTGGGCACCCTGGCCGCCCGACTGTGGAGCCCGCAGGAAGGTCCGCGCAACGGCAACCCAGGCCCGCAGCACCAACCGCCTGGGCCCTGGAGTGCTTCGGGGCTCCAAGGGAACGACGTGGGGCCGACCCCGGGCCCCAAGGCTCGGCAGCGGGCCTAGGGGCAGAGGCCCTCTGAGCAGCCGCCTGGCCTCCGCTATGATCTCCGGGTTTTTTTTCCCTTCCCTGCCTCGGCTGCAGTGCCATCGATCAGGGGTGACAGAGTCACACTTAAGAAAAGCGACATCTGGGGGGGGGGGCTGGTCTGGAATCACCCTTCTCTCCAACCCAGAGATGACTCCCCCTTCGGCCCCCCGCGCCAAGATCCCTTCCAGATGGTTCAGGCAGGGGAGGGGGGAGAGCAGAAGTTCCCCAGGCCCAAAGTCTTTCTCCAAGTCCGAATGCCAATCTCCACGGCCAGGAGGTGGGCGCCACCAGGAAACCCAGTCCGAGACCAGCGGCCTGGGCCTAAGCAGGGCGCACATACTCACACTCATTGAGTCCAATGGTAACACTTGGTGACCCAGATTCCTGGGGTCACTCGGCCTGCAGCCGGCCCCAGCACCTGCATTCAGAGTGGGTCCACTCTCTGCCAACCCCTTTCTGCAGCATGTTCTGCCAGCTCCGGCAGCCTTCCCTCGGAGTGTCCCTCTAGTTGTGGGTTGGCACTAAGCTCTGCTCAGAAAGGCAGGCAGGTCTTTGGAACCCAGCGGGAAGGTGGGAGGTCTGTCCTGCCGCCCCTCTCCACCCACTCCTTTCTACTCTGATTCTCTTCTCTGGTGCCTCCGGCTCTGAGGACAGACCCGGGGGTAGGGGTCCGCAGAAACCTCCCTCTGGCCAGGCAGAACCTAGCTGCCTCAGTGGGGCCCACACCGACCCTCCCTCCTGCTCTGAGACTGGGATTTATTAATGAACTGCTTCTGCACGGTGGTCTGCTGTCTGGGAGTTCAGGCCCGGGGCTCACAAGAGGTGTGTGACAGTCGGAGGGTCTCAGTCAAACTACTAAACCGAAACTGTACACCCCCATGGGTACTACACTTTCCCACCACTAATCAGGATCCGGTGTGTGTGAGTGTGTGTGTGTGTGTGTGTGTGTGTGTGTGTGTGCGCACAGGGGCAACCCTCAAGCCTCTGCTCACCTATCTGATTTCCTCTTCAATGAAAAACCAGCAATTCCATTTCCCTTTTCTGCACTTTGCACGATGAGGGCAGCCACAGATTTAAATAGGGTTGAAAAGCTGTCACTCCTCCCAAAGAACCCGAATTCATCCTTGGGGTACATTTCTGGATTCGATTACTTCCAAATAAACCCAGGAGACAAAACGCTCCTCCTACCCCTTCTGGGGGTGGGGGGCTCGTCACCGTCGACTGGCAATTTCCAGTCAAGGTTTTAGGTTACTTTAGCTGGCAGACAGCTGAGTTCCACCTTCCTCCTCCCTGTTCTCAGAATGCTTTATAGCATGGAAATTAACGATTCGATTGTTATTCCGCATGGCAATGGCACAGGCGCGCTATTTCCTAGTAAATGTTCCTTTGTTTGGTTTTCGTTTGCAGAGGCCAAGAAGAGCAAATCGCGTGTACCCTTCTGAAACACTTTTACCACGAGAACCACCCTCAAATGTCCTGCCGGACACTTTGGCCAAAGATAATTAAAAGAGTTTATGTTCCGGCTCTCCCGCTGAGTTGCTGGAAATATCTGTAAAAGATATTTTAAGTCAATGCCGAGATCTAAAGTACTTTCGTTTTGTCGAGAGCTGTTCCCACACCCCGACAATCACAGCGAGTTTCCTCTGCTGTCCACCATCTCCTGGCCACGAGAGGTTACTTTTTAATTTTGCATGGGCAGCAACGCGAACCAAGGAAAGACAATACAGTTCAGTAGAGCGGACATTAGTTTTCCTTACAGGAATGTCCAGCCGGGTAACTGAAGTTAAAAAAAATATCTGTTCCCCGGTTGTCAACAAGTATACATGCTAATTTCAGTTCAGCGAAGCTCTCAAAACATTGGTGTGTGCATGGTGGGGGAGTACGTGGTAATTTGATCAGCAGTTTTGCTGTTTGGTTAAACGGTGTTATTATATGGAATTACCCCCAAGTAATATACAGTTGGAGTCATCTGCTGAAACCTGTGCGTTGTGATATGGGAAAACTGACCAATGGATCCATAGGCTCGCTGAATTTTAGCCCAAACCACAACTGGATTTTGCATAAATCAGAAAGCAATAGTCTAAGTGGATCTAAGATGATTTAAAAGGGGGAGGGGGAGACGACTGGATCAGGTGAATAGTGTGGGGGGGGTGGGGGGCTGTACGGGACGGCTGCAACGTTCTTGCCCTTTCCGCAGCTCCTCAGCCTTCTCAAGGAGTTAATTAAATTAAGATTCCTTCCCCGTAATCTGGGTTGTTTCCCCGCTCCACTGTTCCCCAGCGTGAGTGATTTTCCTGTTCCAGCTGCGGACAGCTTTGAAAGCAGTTGTCTGCGCCGTTTCGCTCCGGGAAACGCCAGCCTTCTTTTGTTCTCTGCTAACAGGTAGGCAGACCCCGCTCTCCCTCCACGGACACCTTTTCTCCCTCCTCCTTCCTACAGCCGCAAAACCTTCATCGCGGCGATTTCTCCCGGATCCGAGCAGTTTAAACTCTAGGGCCTGTTGCCCCTTTCCCCGGGGGTTGGAAGTAGGGCGACAAAATCCGGCGGCCAATACTGAGCTGGAAATGCTCTCAGGTAAGTAATTCTCCTACGGCGGACCGATAATTTTCCATTTCCAGGGCGCCTTCGGGGTCCAAGGCTGGGCAGGCACAACGTGCCCGCTAGCCCGCCCGGAGCCACCGCAGCCGCCCGGGGGCCGGGTCACCCCGGCTTTGCAGGACAGCCTCAGGTTGAGAGTGTTATCTCTGCGAAGGTCTGTCAGCTTTTAGAAGCTTACTATAAAATGATCCGAAGCAAAACTAAAACACAGTGGTGAGTGTAAGTGTGTGTCTGCGCGCGCGCGCGTGCTGCGAGTAGCGTGCCGGAGGTCCAAGAAAGTCAGAAACACAATGCCCCGGGAATGCAGCTCAATGATTTCTTTTCATGAGATGTGAACTTGGGCCCCGCCGGACCGAGACTGCAAACACCCCTTGGCGCCCCCCGGACCCGTCCTGGCTCTCGGCCGCTGCAGCCCGGGCCCCGCGCGGACACTCACCTCCCGCACAGGGAAGCCCGCCCGGACTGCGCTGCTCAGACCCGGTCCAGGCGGCCGGGCGCGCGGCGAGGCCAGCTCAACGGATCCGCTCGGTGCAAACTTCTCTCTCCGCGCCAAGTCCTGGGCGCCGCGGACATGATCCGGAGCACCGCGGGCAGCCGAAGCTTCGAGCGCGGCTCCTTCGCCTTGGTCGGAGTCCGTGGACGCGGAAGTGGAAAGACCAGGGTGCTTGGAGCCCAAACTCAGCGGTCGCTTAGCGCCCCGCGCCTCGGCGAGCCTCTCGCTGCCGACTCCGGGTAAGGTCGGAGCCCGCAGCCTCGCAGGGCCATCACCCTCCAGCAGCGAGAGAGCCGAGCTCCGTCCCCGCCCGCCCGCGTCCCTCCCCAGGCTGCCCAGGGCCTGGAGTCACGGGCTTTAGTAGCGGCCCCGCCTCCCCTCGCGGCGGCGTCCTGCAACCGCGCGGGCCCCCAGCTCGCAGGCTCCGCCCCCGCGCCCGGCGCCCGCTAATGGTCCACTCTGTTTACTTGTGTTTGGATAGCAACTGAGTCTTAAAGGCGCAGGTTTGCCCGAGAGTTCCCTGTTGCACGGCGAAGGTGACTCAGTGCAGAACTCACACGCAACCACAACGCCCATCCTCACGTTTCTCCATGCCACTCTTCCTTACCCTGTTCGGAACGCCACCGTTTGTCCTCTCGCCCCTCTCCCGCGGGAGACCCCACAGAGAAACCCCAAGCGGCGTTTTGTAGTTTAACTTGGCACCCTCTTCAGCTTCATTTCCAACCTTGACACATTGAATACAGCTATCTTCTCCTTAGGGTACAGCCAATCAGTTCTTTTCTCCAGCCTGCAGTCGGTGCACGTTGTCCAACTTGAATGTGATTTTAGACGTATTTCTGCCGTTTCTGTGTCGTGTGGCTTCAAAAAGAAGTTTGTTTATAGAGGTGGCAATGGATTAATTTGGTCATTGTGGCCAAGACCTATGAGGGATGTCCCAGGAGAAATTCTTCCAATTGTTTAGTTTTCATCAGCCAGCGCACATTTCCGAAGCTGTTGACCAACTTGGTTAAAAGGGTGGACGTCAGCAACCCATTGACGAACAGTAAGAAATCCATCTGGAATGGATGATGAGGATTCATTTTAAATTTTTTTGAAAAAGACAAATACTAGCTTCTCCAAGCATGTACATTTTCACTCTCAGCAAAAATTAGAGTTCACTGTTCAGCCTCCAGGAAATTCAATCGAATTTATGGTGCATCGAGGGTCTTGGTCCAGTGAGAGTAACTGCAGAATGCACTTCACCTGCTCTGGAAAGCCGGTGACCGCAGGCGAGAAGGGAAGGACTCGCAGTCGTGTAAATCGCTTTTCGGAGGACATCCGCGTGCTTTACACTGGGGAAAATTACACCGAGGAAACCGCTCTTCGTTGTAGACGAGTCGCCAGCTGGGGACTACCTTGGACAATGTGCGCTAGGGAGGCACAGAGTCCCCAGCCAAGAGACTACAATTTTAAGTGTCCACTAAAAGATGAATTTGACGGAGCCTTGTGAAGGACAATTAAAATAACCTCATTCGTGCGGGCAAAGTGAATATATAGAAGGGGAGGGTAAAAGCTATTAAAAAAAAAGGTTAACCAAGTGATTGGGGATCCCAGTAGAAATTCTGAAACATTTTAGGTAGGTAGAACAACTTCTGTTGTGTTTAACCTGAGATGAACAGAATTTTTCGTTCTTTTTGTAAGACTTTAACTCAAGGAAAGGAGATCTTTCTTCCTTTTCTTTCCCATTTACATTCGCCAGGATTAACAACTGAGGCACTCTTTAACTGCGTCGGTGCAGACTTGGCGAACCGCGTGCAGTAGCAGCCGACTGGAGCTGAAATTAGGGTTCCACAGGGGTGCTTTCATTTTAGCGCTCAGTCCTGAACTCCAGCTGCGGGGGTGCCTGCGGTGCCCTCTCCCCAGCCACCTCCTTCTTTCCGCAGCTTTTCTCAATTTGGGAGACTTGGAAAGCACTTTCTCCTTTTAACAGACCTCCCAGACGCGTGCTAGAGGTGACCCGAAGAGTATTCCTAAGCTTCCTAAGGGGAAGGCAACTTCCAGAGCTTGACACCTTTCTTGCGTGTGTGTGTGTGTGTGTGTGTGTGTGTGTGTGTGTGTGTGTGTGTGTGTGTGTGTGTGTG